GGTGAAGCACTACTGGGCACAAGCAGAGATTCCAGCTGGACACATTGTGTCTCTGGATCAGGCACCAGCTGTCTAAACAGCCAACCAAAGTCAAGCTAATGACTTTAAACAAGCGCTTAGTGGGAGGCAACCCACTGGTAAGTTGTAGATATAACACTTAGTTATTATTTTCGTGTTTATGATTAGTAATTAGATTAATTATTCAGTTAAAAAAAAAAAATATAAAGTGGTGACGATCGTCACCCTTATGGTGATGCTCGTCACCCGTCGAAGTCGAGCACGGGTATTAGTTTTCTCTCTTCTTCTTCCTCGGGCATAACTGTTTAAACATCGAACACTTAGAAAATTTTCAGAGATTCATAACTTTTGATTTTCTAAACCAAATTGAGTGATTCAAGAGTCTAATCCGTGTGGATTTTGCTCCTCTTTCTGAATATCAACTCGGTTTTTAAGATCTGCAAGGTATGTGTTCGGAATCTCCAATTTTCAGTCCGCCATAGGTTTGGTAAAATTCAATTTTTGACTTGATTGGCTTGATTTAACTGTTGAATCATGGTTAGTTAGGTTGTATTAGAGGAATGGAACCATCTATGTGAGCTTTTATCGGTTGATTTGCAAGTTTTGAATTTTCGAGTTCATGATGAAAATTGCAAAAATCTGGAAATTTTGGGTGATTTAGGTTGAACTGATGATTGGATTATGTTCGTGGTAGTGCTGTAGTTGATCGCCATTAGTTATTTCACCTTGATTGGTTGATTTTTCGAACTTTAAAAAGTTTGCTAATTTTTGTGATGTTTTTGGTCGATTTTGATCTTCAATTTTCAGATGCCTCGTCAGGAAAAACGACCAAGGCAAAGCTCGTCTTCAAGCACTGCAACAGGGTCTACGGATTCCTTCAGTCAACACCCGGTTTGCAGGCCCCCATGGCCCAAATGAGAAGATCGGAAAATAGCCTCAGGAATGATTTGGGCAGGGACTCCGAAGCAGGAAGTGTCCCGAGACACATGTGTGTTCCGCGATATTCAGGAGGAGTGGGATGAGTATGACATGCTGTTCTACAATGCGTGGCTGGGAGTGAAGATTATCCCCACTCGGTTCGCGGATTCTGCTGTTCTGCAGAAGATGGGGATCTTCGAGGAGGTTGTTCAGATTCTGGAGCGCATTGGGATGGAGACTATACCGTTCCAGCAGTATGATCTGTATCCAGATTTGGTCCGCCAGTTTCTCTCTACATTTCGTGTCTACTACGCGAATGAGCTGGCGAAGCGTGTGCAGGAAGGCACGATGACGTTTCTGATCCGAGGAGTTCGATACCGGATCAGTCTGATGGAGCTTTGTGGGATCTATGACTTCTCTAACCATCCCACAGGCGTTCTCCTTCCCTCTCAGTGGACCCATATGCGGACATTTTGGTCCAAGTTCGGGAATGGAGTCTATGACAGCAAGACCAGCACGCAGACGGAGGTTCGACATCCGGTTTTGAGGTACATTCTGCGCCTCTTTGGTCATACCATTCTGTGCAAGTCTGCGCCTAGCAAGACTCGAGTTAGTGAGCTGATTCTCCTCTACTACAGACTTTATGAGATGCTGGATGATTCGATACCTGTTGATAGCATGGTTCGCGCCAACTTAGGCGCTGTTTTCGCGGAGCATCTGGTCTCCTTGAAGACCAAGCCATTCACCAGTCCAGGGGAGAAGACTGAGAGTGTTGGCAGCCTGCTGACACCGATCTTCCATCATTTCCAGATCGATGTCACACCTTGCAGTCTGCGCAGTGACAGATTACTTATGGATGACCAGTATCTGCGCCATGTCACTTGGATGAAGATTGGAGTTGTCTGGACTTTCACTACCACTTCTGGAGAGTATGTAGGCATTAATTTGCCACAGAGAGCCCTCACTACTATTCAGGGAGATCCACGCCAGCTACTCTTCACACCAGCACAGACTCTTCTGCGCCCCTTGACTCTGCGTCCTGCTAGAGCTGCTACAGCTGGCGCCTCTGCTTCTACTGCCGCTGCTGCTGATGCTGGACCTTCTACACGCCAGAGTGGTTCTTCTACTGCTTTCAGGTGTCCTCCACGACCACAGACACCCATGGATATGACTGCTTTTCAGGAGTATGTCATTGACAGCTTTGAGGGACTCTGGGATGCTGTTGCTACACTTAGCAACTGTGGTTGTGTCCGCCCCCATTACACCACTGAGCCTTGCGAGGATGAGGATTGAGGCTTCACTATCTGGTTACTTGTTCCTTTTTCCCTTTTATTTTTCTTTCTCTTGAGTCATTTTTATGTTTTCTTTGAGTCAGTTGTCAGTTTCTTTGATGATGTTTTGTGAGATTGTTGAACCAGGTTATTTTTGCTATGTTTGGATGTTGTTAATTATGTGTTTGAATGCTCAAAAAGTCTAACTTTCGAGTACATATGCAAACACTTCGTTAATTAACATCTGACATAAGAATTGGGCAATACAGGGCGTGGTGACGCTCGTCACCCGACCCCACGCGAGGTAACACTTTTCTGACTTGGTTTTTCGACTTCTCATTCATTTTTCTGACCAAATCTTAGCTTAATAACACTGGGGACAGTGTTGTTTAAGTCTGGGGGAGGTGGTTACTGACGTTGTGTGCTTTGTGTCATGTCTATAAAGTCTTAAAGTTGAGTCAAAAACCTGTTTTTCTAGAGTCAAAATATTTGAAACTGTCAGTTTTTCTTGGAATTAACCATAGGACGTTTTTGCTGATAAGAACCATTGCCACAGTAGTTGATTACAAGTCTCACTAAGTTGAAAGTCATAGGTAGATCAGTCTAGCAATGAAAGTTTAGGTTCTTAGAGAGTCTGAAAAATTTGCTGTTAGCTCCACCTTAATGAACTTTAAACTTCTTTTCTTGGTGATTGATTCTTATTGATCTTGATTCTCTCTTTAAGCACTGCAAATAAGGTTAAAATACAGTCTCTCTTTGATCTTCCCTGATGTAGTTTTTAAAAGATTAAGTCCAAAGAATGGTGCATTCATGACCCTGTCTCCTCACAAGGAACAACAGTAGTGAACACACTCAAGAACCTGTCTCCTCACAAGGAACGCAAGTATTGAGTAGCCCCATATCTTAGACTGTTAAAGTTGAGAAAAAGAAGTGAAAAATCGAAAATACCCAAAGGAAAAGATCAAGGGAAGAGAAAATAGGAGAGCTGTGTTGAGATTGATTTGTTCAGTTGTTAGGAAGGGAATAGAATCTGTAAAGTGATTGAGATGATAGAGCCTTGATGAGATTTCACACTTAGATAAAAAAAATAAGGAGTTAACAGTAGAAATTTCGGATTTCTTGAAGGGATTTGGACTGGACTTGAGAGATTTGCTAAGCTTGTGATAGTTAGACTGAAATTTGACCTTGTGTTGACTATGTGGTATGTGGATTCGAAAGCTCTAACTAGTATGGTGTTCTTTATGACTGACTGACTGTTTCTTGTTTTCAAACCTCGACCTTATTCTTTGTCTGATGTTTGCTTGAGGGCAAGCAAAAGCTAAGTCTGGGGGAGTTGATATATCATGGTTTTTATGGTTTTTAACCATGATATAAGTCCTTTTTATTGAGTCTTTTTGGTCTTTTTAGATTCCTAGAAGAGTCTTTGCAGGTTATAGCATGTCTGGAGCATAATTAGAGATTTTGGAACCTTTTGGAGCATTCTGGGTGGAAGCTACGAAGTACCAAGCTCGAAACAGAAAGTATCACATATGGTGACGCTCGTCACCACCTTTGGTGACGCTCGTCACCCATTAGGAAGGAGCGTGGCTGTTTTATTAAAAGTATGAAGAAGATTTGCAGAATTGGCCCAGAAGTTCCTTTATTTACATGAAGACCCCATATCGTGTTTAGCCTCTATTTTATAGGTTTTTCAGCCATTGTTGGCTATTATCTTAGTTTTTGAGAATTCAGAGAGCTTAGAGAGAGATTTATTCAGAGCTTTTTGGAGAGACAAATCCTGTACTCTTTTGAGAAGATTTCGAACCCCCTTTATTTCTTACTCTTTCTCTTAATGCAATATTATTCAGTTATGTTTTGTGATTCCATAATCATGTCTGACTAGTCTGCTAGTTAAGTTAGGGGTTTTCAAAGGTTGATGAAAAGATTGTAGAATCGCTATCTATTAGGAATATCTTATGGTTTTTCATCTCTGCTTGCTTTAAAATCGAATTTCTGAGACACATCATCTAGGAATCCGAAAATCATAGGTTGTTAAATATATGTGAGAGCATTATTCATAACCTGAACTAGTATTTGATGAGCAAAGCAACTTAGTGCAAAGAGATTTAGCTTAGGAGTTTTGTAAACAATTGAATCTGATCATTCCTGCATGCTTAGGTTGTTAGGGTTTGCAAAGAGATTTGAGACTCTGTGATTTAGGCATAGATAACTTTTGCAATGAGAATTCATTAGTTATACATCAGTGATTCATGTTTAAAATGGCTCTTAATCATTCCTGATTTCCTGCGTCATACATTCTTGGATTCAACCTGCGAACTGCCCTGACTTAGCGCTTTTAGTTTTCTGGAACTTAGATCATCTTACAAAATCGTTTGCTTACTTTCATTCATTCATTCGCATTACATACATCATATCTTGCTTAGCTTAATCCGAATCTACATTCGATAGTGTAGTCTGCATTACTCTCTTGGGATTTCGATACCCCTTGTACTACAACTGCTTTTGCAGTAGTTTTATTTGGGTAAAACCTGAACCCTATCAGTTTCTAGCGTTCGAACTTTTGGCAGCTCGAGGAAAGATCTACTAATTCATGGCTCTGGAACTCTCTGCTCTCGGTTAGGCCACTAGCTAAACGTCTCCTAGGCTGAGAAATTGGTAATGGAGCAACGGCCAGCATTTGGTTTGATAACTGGCTTGATAAAGGTCCCCTAAATGATTTTATGGGCTCACGTGGACCTCTGAAAACAGGGTTCTCCTTTAACTCCTCTGTATTAGGTGCATCGAGTGATAGCAATGGCTGGTTCCTCCCGTCTGCTCGTTCTAGAGATCTCCTCATCCGAGCTCTCCGCCAGTCCTTGATGATCTTACCTCCTCCACACTCGGATAAAGAACCTGATGAGTTTACTTGGGGAGAGGAAGGAGCAAGAACAGACAGCTTCTCCTCTAGAAAAACTTGGGATTTATTGAGACTTTTGGCTCCTCCTGCAGCGTGGACAGGTTCAGATATGAGGTTCCTGCTCACACTTTCAATTTTTTGGTTGCACATCTGGATAGACTCCCGACAAAAGCAAGGATGCAAGCTTGGGGAGCAAACATGCAGAGCCCATGTTGCCTCTGCAGCTCCTCCATAGAAATGAGAGATCATTTGTGCCTGCAATGCTCGTTCTCCGCTCAGGTTTGGTCCTCAGTTCTCTCTCGCTTTCGAGCCCCATCTTACGTTCTTGCGGACTGGAATTCTATGTCTTCTTGGCTCAACCCAAACAGTGGTTCTCGCACAAAGTATCTGAAAAGAATTGCTGCTCATGCTACGGTTTATTTCCTCTAGAAAGAAAGAAACAGTCGTCTCCACAATGGCCCTCCTATTTCCCATTGCTCTGTCTTCCAGTCAATTGATCGCTCAGTTCGGGACACACTCCTTGCTTGACTTTATCGCAAAGGTTGTCAAGGTCTGCTTTCTCAATGTTTTACCTACGCCTAAAACTCTTCTAGTCTGGTTACTTGCTAGTTTCTCCCAGTTTTTTCACTTTTTTTTAACCGATGAAACTACTATGTCTTAAAGCCTTGTAATATGTTACAATGTTCCTTCTTTTGGTAATAATATTCACATTTTATCAATGGCATTTTTTGAAATTATGCCTTTTCGAAATTTATGGTTGCGTTGTTTCATTATAAATAGTTGCATTTTTTAACTATAAATGGTTGCGTTTCTTCATCACAACTGTAATTTGTGTCTTTTCAATTTTACGGCGATTGCGAATATCAAATAAATGATTCAAATAAAAGAAAAAGATATCTGACTTTAAAGGAGAAGGATTGGAGAAATTAGCTGCATCTTCAGATGGTCTTTTTCAATCAAGGTGAGGTTTGGCTATCCTGAAGCTTTGAGAAAGTCGACCATGATTATATTCTTGATTCTATTTCTTTTGTTTGGCACGTTTTTCTCCGTTTGTAAATAAGTAAAAATCAGAGACAACTAACATTTTTTACATGATTTTGAAGAATATAAATAATTTTGAAAAGACGTGAATTACAGTTGTAAAACGCAACTATTTAGAATGAAGAAACGCAACCATTTATAATCAAAAGATACAATTATTTACAATGAAAAGACGCAACCATAAATTTCAAAAATACACAATTTTTCAAAGTGCAATTGATAATTTTTCAGATTGTTATTATAGATAGATAGGTCAGGTCTATAGGTCTTGGGTTTAGATTCTATGGAGTGTAAAAGATTAAATATTGCTGTTGATTCTATTTTTTTTAATAGGAACCCCGTGGGTTAAATAGTCGGTCGTGATATTATGTGTACGTTGAAGACTTTGAAGGTGAATCATCGGTTATTGTTTCTTTTTGGTGTGTGACTAGAGATACATTTTCAATCCTTATCGTATAAACCGATACACTCCAAAAAACCATACTGCTGATTCCACTACCTAACAATTTTGAGATCCACATCACACCCGGTCTCCTAAAATTTGTTTTTAAATGCCGTCAAGGAGCACAGAAGAACACCTGTATCACGGGAACACTATTCACGGTAGGAGAGCACTGTTCCAATAACGATGTCTCTGGATTTGGGAGCAACACAATCCGAGTCTCCGACTATTGTTAAACACAAGTTCTAAACATCAATCTTGTCGCTGAGAATTTAAAACATCGTGCACTACAAAAAAATATTCAATATTGTTACAAATTTTTATATCATAATATATAAATTTTTGCGTTATAAAATTTATGTTATGACGGTAATATCATAAGTTCTTAAAAATCACAATAAAACCTTCACAAATCTTTTATAGTCTTAAAAACGTCACAAGTAACAATGATCACAAGTGGTGACAACATTAAAACAGTCACAAAATAATACAATTCATGAGAAAAAATACCATCATAATTATGTAATAAATTGTCATATATTTATTATAAATTCTTACTATATTTAAGTCATTAATCCATTAAAAATTATGACCAAAATAATGTCACAAATTTTGTTATAACTAATGACTAAATTGTAGTCACAAAAAAATTACACAGTTAGTGACCACAATACTGTTATAAACCGTCACAATTAGTGATTATATTGTAATCACATAATTATTATAATTTGATTTGTATTGTGGATTTCTCCTCACTAAAATTGATAAAAAAATATTATATAATTAGAAATGTGAAAATTATTAATTTTTAGTCACAAACAGTGAGCAAACATTTTTAGTTAATTACAATAAAACAACAAAAATAAAATATAATAAAAGGACAAAATATTACTTTAAAAACTAACATCCAATATCAAAACAAGGTTAATATACAAACAAAATTTAAAGAAAATAAGCTTAATAAAATAAAAACTAAACAATACTCAAAGATAAAACTAGAATTACTAAATTAGATAGATGGTGGATGGTGGATAATCTTGGTGGTTACCCTACGATCTTCAAACATCTGAATAATCACTTAATAGAATCATAAGAAGATTTATCAGATCACTTTCAGTCATTGTCGCAGAAGATGAAAAGACTTATATTTGAGATATGAGTTAAGGTTTTTCTTCCCTTACCTAATCTTTTAAATGTTGTGTTTTATGATGATTGTGATACCTTTATAATAGATTACAGGCATGTACTTAGGTGCTGTTCGTTTCCTAATCTATACACAGCATTCAGACACAGATACTAGATATTGTTCGTTTAGTTACAATTAACCTCATGAACTGGATACAGTAACTAGATACAAATTCTAAACTCATCCAAAAAAATCAGATATTTCAGATGCAATTAAAAGTAGAGTTTGGATGCATAAAGTTCATCCAAAAAATATAAAAGTCTAAAATAACCTTATCAAATTCAAAAAATTACACATCAATTTATCTAAAATAATAAATCTATAAATCGATAATCTCTAACCCTAAATCCCCAAATGTCATTTTTCACCTCTCGTATCGATATTCTGGGGACGAAGCTTGTTTCTCTCGATTTACAGCCGACTAAGTTTGATTCTCCGGCGAAGAAGGTCGATTCTTCACAAATAAGCTTGATTCTCCGTCGAAGAGGCTTGAAACTTCGACGAATAAGCTCGATGATACATATGGTGCAAAGGTTAGTGTTTCTCATAAGCTGATATGTGTTCTATGCGCAAAGGTTATGGTTTTTAACACAGACTATTCATAAGCTTCATAGATTATTCTGGGTTTTTTGTTGTTAGCTGATTAGGTGTTAGCAAAACTTTATATTTCTCTCATGCTGAAAACTTGTTTTTAAGAAGCTAAGCTCCTCAAAACTTTATGTTTCTCTCTTCATTGTTGTCTCTGTTTGGTTTGGAGCAGATGAATTCATCACTGAAGCAGGGGAGCTTGTAGTCGAGCTAAGGTAAGCTTAGTCGAGCTTGTAATCTGTCTTCTTCCTTCCTTGGTTTAGTCGTATTGATAAATGTTAAGTGTGAAGTTTTTTTGACAGATTTTGCATTCAAAAAGTGAGAAAACAATGACGTCTGTGCCTGGTAGTGATGTAAGTATCTTTCACTCTAACCCATATTATAATTGAATGCTTTTAATTTAAGTATTTGCAAATGTTATTTGGAAGAATAGACTCTAGTATGGAGTGACGAACAAACACGGATGGTTCTTCAACTAAGAATCGAAGAGAATCTGAAGGGAAATATAAGAAAACAGGTGGTAAATGAAGCTGGGAAACGAACCATCATGGCCAAGTTTCATGAAGCTTTTGGGCAAGAGCATCAATGGCCAAAATTTAGGAACAAGTATAATACTTGCAAAAAACAGTATGTATCGTTCAAGAGGTTGACTAACAATCGAACTGGTCTTGGATATGATTCAAATGGGTTTCTAGAGATGAGTGATGATTGGTGGGAAGAGCGATGTAAGGTATATATATCTTCTTCTTTTCACTTAAAAGTGGAGTTTTTAGGAAAATGGGTTCATAGAGATGAGTTATGATTTGTACATTCTGGTTTTACATTTTCAGGAATGGCCTGGAGCTATAAAGATAAAAGAAAAACCAGTGGCAAACATGGATCTAATGGAAGCAGTTTTTGGATCTGTTCATATAACTGGAGCTGAGGGTTGGAGTGCTCAGCAAGGTGAAAACCATTTGGACACAATGATGCATGAGGAGCCCATACACGAGTCTGATGCTGCATCTGAATCTCGGCAAAATGACCCTCCTCCTAATCAAGAAACTGATGTGTCACATAATGCTCCCTCGTCTTCAAATGCACCAAGGGCCAAACGGAAAAGGCACACAGGACAAGCTGTAGCAGAGGTGATTAGAGACAGCATTCACTCACGTGATGAGATACTCTCCCATAAAAACAAACTAATAGAGAGCCACCCTGATTATAGTTGCAGTCAACTTCGGGCAATGCGAGTCCTAAATTCGTTGCCTTCCATAAGAATGTGGTCTCCTTTGTACAAGGCAGCAATTCAACACCTCAAGGAAGATCCTACTAATCGTCAGACTTTTTTGTGTTATGAAGATGATGAAAACAAGGTTCTGTATTTGGAGTTTGAGACTGGCGAAAGCAGAGATGCATGAGAACCACGGAGATGCATGAGAGTCATCTATGTTTTTTAGTTTTGTGATGGATTCTAGTTCATATCTATGTTTTGTGATGAATTCTAGTTCACATCTATGTTTTTGAATCTTATGCTGAAGTTTTAATCTATACTGAGTTCTGAGTTTATTATGCTGAAGTTCTATTAATCTACATTGAGTTTTGAGTTTTAATCTATACTGAGTTCTGAGTTTATTGTATTGTAATTTCACAGGATACATTTAAACTTTTGACTGAGGATGATGATGTGGATTTGGTACTAGATGAAGAGGAAAACATGTTTGCTGCTGTACAAGAATTCTTTGGAGTGTCAGATGTTAATCTTGGTAGACAAATACAAAGGACAAATAGAGGTGGTGGTTGGCGTCGTGTGCAACGGTTCATGTTTGAGTCCGAGAAGCAATGCTTTGATATCCTTCGCATGAATCAAGGAACTTCTATGAGTTTATGTCAGAAGCTATCAGGACAGTATGAGCTAAAAGAATCTTGCCATGTTTATCTTGAAGAGAGTGTGGCAATGTTTGTAGAGATGGTTGCACAAGATCTTACTGTGCGAGTGTTAGCCGAGCGATATCAACACTCTCTTGATACGGTGAAGAGAAAGTTAGATGAGGTTCTGAGTGTCCTTCTGAAACTTGCTGCAGACATCGTGAAGCCTACAAGAGGTGAGTTCACTACTCCTAGCCCTGCTCTAGTAAATAATCGACACTATTGGCCTTTTTTTGAGAACTGCATTGGTGCTCTTGATGGCACACATGTGCCTGTTCGCCCTCCATCTGATAATGTAGAAGCATTTAGAGGTCGGAAAGCAGAAGCAACTATGAATGTGCTTGCGATATGTAATTTCAGTATGAAATTCATATACGCCTTTTCTGGAGTACCTGGTAGAGCTCATGACACAAAGGTTTTAACTCATTGTGCTACTCAAGAACCTTTTTTTCCTCATCCACCAAACGGGAAGTATTACCTAGTTGATTCAGGATACCCAACTAGAATAGGTTATCTAGGTCCTCATCGTAAAACTAGGTACCATCTTGATAATTTCACACGGGGAGGACCACCTACAAGCACTAGAGAGTTGTTTAACCGTAGACATGCAAGTCTGCGCTCAGTGATTGAGCAAACCTTTGGAGTGTGGAAAGCAAGGTGGAGGATTCTAGACCGCAAACATCCTAAGTATAAGCTGAAAAAATGGGTGAAGATCGTGACAGCTACTATGGCACTCCACAACTTTATACGGGATTCTCATCATGAGGACCGTGATTTTGCACATTGGGAATTGGTAGAAGAGTATGAACATCATGGTGATCAAGTGGAGCAAAATGCTGAATATAACATTGGACATGTTCCATACATACCAACCGGAGATAGAGTGATGGAGGCTATACGTGATATGATCACAGAAAGGATTGCAAGAGGACGTCAGCTTCCATATTAATACTTGTTTTTATCAATCTCTAACTTTGTTTGATTTCTAAAACATTTGATTTTTAAGATGTAAAACATTTGATTTTTAAAAATTTAGTATGATTATTTGCAATGTTGATGATTATTTGTTTAAAAAAATTAAATTAAATTATTTAAAGTTCATAAATACTTTGTTTTAAAAATTTCAACATATAAATAATATTTTCATTTTTAAATTTTACAAATGAATATATTTTCAAATGTAGTTATTTTATTAAAATAAAAATTTATAAATAATTTAAAAGTTAATTTAGTAATTATTTAGTTGTAAATATAATTGTAATCATTAATATATATTGGTAACATAAAATCTATTTTTCTAATTATTTTATTGTTAAGTGTATTCAGATACAAACCAACACACAAACAAACATAACTACATCCAATTACAATATCTAGACACGTTATCAAAAACACAAACGAACAATATCTGGATATTGCATCCAAATACTGCTTCTGGATTAGGAAACGAACAATATCTGGATACTGCATCCAAATACTGTATTTGAATGCTGCGTCTGGATGCTGTGTCTAGATTATAAAACGAACAGTTATTTATAAGTGGAGAGAGGACCT